TAAGATGGGCTATAGGACTAAAAAAAAGTTTGTGACTGTCAGACAAAGGTCTTAAAATTTCAAATGATAAACAGAGTTATTGATTGATTATTTGGCAAAACATTAAAATTTAGTTTGTAAATGATCAAAAAATTTAATCCAATTGAAACTGTATTTATTGAATCAAATATTACTTGTCAAAAATTGACCTACAGGTATGTTACCTTTGTATGTACATGAATCAATAACATTTTACTTTAATCAGAGCAACATTTACTTATTTAATTTTGTTGTCAGAGAGCAAAAGAAAAATTTCAATAGTTGTCTTCTACTACTTTACTCTGGCTAGTTTGTGTAATTTCAATACATAGAGGATCTGGAAGGGTTGCTACTGAAAATTTCTGAACATAATTTCAACATATCCTTACTTGTCACAGATTTTGTCAAATGTGAAAAGCACCTTTTTTAATGGAGATGGTCAATCTTTTACTCTGTTTTGGGTTACCTCATGCAGGGCAAGGCCAAGGTCCAGCACGACAAGCAGCAATGAATGCTGGTATCCCATCATCTGTTCCAGCATATGGTGTGAACATGTTGTGTGGATCTGGTTTAAAGGCTGTTGCTTTGGGATACCAAGCTGTTATAACTGACAAGTCAGCTGTTGTTGTTGCTGGGGGTCAGGAAAGTATGAGCCAGGTAGGGTTTTGACCTCAATAAACCCCTAAAAAATGCTTAACCCTTTACACCCTAACATCAGTATGCATATTCTCCATACTGTCCTTCAAACATTTCCAAAGAGGCTGACGAGGAGAATTTGTTTAACAGTCAAGAGTTGCTTTAGTTGGTGTTCATCTCTTCTATACTCGTGACTTCAAGTTTGATTCAGGGGTGATATAGTAAGGAGAAATTAGATGCTAGTCACTCTCAGGGGCTAAAGGGTTAAAGGTTTCACGCACATTATGAGTAAGAAAAAGAATTCATATATATTATGTAGCATGCAATTTGATTTGTCTAGTTATGATTCTCTAACCTCAAATGCAGGGATTTTTTTTCATATACAGACAACATGCTTGTCTGCTTTCACTTGACCTTCTAAAGGATTCATATATTTAATTCCCATCAAACCTTTCTTTGACAGAAAAAAATCAAATTTGGTTTTCAAATGTTGACATCATTATTTGCTTCAATAAGTCACCCTTCAGTTGATTCTTGTAGGTTGATATTATTGATTTGTTTCAAAATTTTATCTCTTCAGTGTAAAGTTGGACTGATTCAAATGAAACTATATGGGCCTTGGATTAACCCTTAAACTTCCATGAGTGACCAAGATAAAATTTCTCCCTACATTATTGATACAATTTTAAGCAAAAAAAAGAGAATACCGAACAAAATATATAAATTAGGGGATTAATTGTTATTTGATCCAATACAAAATTATTAGAACTGACTTTGAAAGAATTGTGTGGCAGACAGTAAGGAGAATTGCTAATGAGATCTTAGGAGTAAAAGGGTTAAAAAGTCCTGTAAAAGAGTTTTGTCGGTGGCAGTGATTGAAATTTCTATAACCTTGACAGAAGTTGCCATAAAGGTCTTGTGGAAAGTTGTTTGTCAGTCCAATGTCTTATTAGTGAACTGAGCTTATTGGTCAGTTTTACAGTGTGTTGTTTGTCTTGGGGGTGGATCTGTTAGTTGTCATTGATTACTTTTAATGTGTGAGGAGAAAATGTTTTGTGTCAGGTGATGATTATTATAAGTAATCCAAGTATTATGATTTTTACAGGCCCCTCATTGTTGTAACATAAGGTCACCAATAAAGATGGGTGACACTAAACTTGTGGATACTATGATGCTTGATGGACTTATTGATGCTTTTCATGGCTACCACATGGGAATAACAGGTACATGGGGTTTTGATGCTGCACAATGTTACATTATCTCATGATTCAGTTGATTTTAAATCACATCTTATGTTATATTTGTCTTGAGGGTATAATATCCTTATACTGCTGCAACTTACCATAGCTTCAGCAGCATGAAGCAAGGAGTGTCAACTTCACTCTAGTACATCAGCAATTAATCGATAATTTTTTTGACAATTTGCCGCTACCCATTTATACTTCCAGGCATTATAAGGTGCTGTGAGGATTAAGTATCTGGCTACAGGTCTCAAGCACAACATCACCACCTTAGCTAGGGCTCAAATCCAGACTTCTCAAACCAAAGTCCTTTTTCCTGTAACTCTTTAATTCTCAAGATTTGATAGTTAATTCTCCAATCTTGAAGTTAGATCAAGATAACAACTTCTATCTGATAAGTTTGAGTATTCTCTTTACCTGTTTCCTGGATAGTATATAGATATAAGTGAATAGTATTCACAATGTCTCACTCATGAGTTTTAAAGAGGGTGTGACTATTATAATCTGGAATGATTCTCTTGAACAATTCTCTTGAACATTTCTCTTACCAAGTAATGATAAGCCTTTGGCCGGGCCTCGAAGAAGCAATCTGTGTTTTTTGCTGCGTGTCACCTTGCTGTGCTTAAGCCTGTGGTTTTGCTTTATTAATGAAGGCCATCAACCCTTTTCTTTATGTTACAATCCAGCCAGTGAAAGAATGACACTTGCTACTAAAAGAATTTGAGTGAGTGAGAATGATGATGATGGTTCTGGTTGTAGTTGTAATCTTGCCGCTCCATGGCCTGCCCTCTTGGGGCTTGGATCCTTTGAACCTCCTCTCTTCTCCTTTTCCTCTCGAACTCTTCTATTGTGTTCAGCAAGTTTTTTGCCAGCTGCGACATGCTCTGGGTCTTTATTTGGTTTCATCTTATTTTTATCAGTTGAAGTCACCTGTATGAGCCTGGCTGAAGGCTTGCCCCTGCAGGCCCTGGCAGAAGTCTGGCTGGTGCTTCTTCAGTCTTAAGTTATTTATCATCCATTTTACTTGTTGATATATAATTTGTAAGTTTTTATTAAGAAGTTAATCAGTTTCTTCATAAATACTATCTATTTCCTTATCATTGACCAAGGGTACTTCAACATTTTTGGCTGTGAGAAGAGCAGCACTTGCGATTGCCATGTACTTTCCATACTTCAGACTCAATCCAGCAGCAATCATTCCAAGTTCTCTCTTTACCATGAGTTTATTGCTCAAGTCCTTCAGAAGTTTTCTAATCAACAAGGACAAAATGAGCCAATACTTTACATAAGAGCTGAAGGAATGTATAAACTATTGCATCGCAAGTCTTTGAAGACAATGAATTTTCATATCTCTTGAAGTGCTTCTCAACATCTTGTTCAGTAAGCTTCTTAACTTAATCCTGGGTGAGAGCTTCACCAATCATTTCCTTTGCTTTACCACTTGCAACAAGAACAATGAGCTGCTCTCAATGATAGCTGCTATGCAACCTGGCCAAAGGCTCTGAATCACTTGCTAGTTCAGCTTTGAGAATACTCATAACATCTGTGATTGCTGCAGCTTTGCTGCCTGGCCAAAGGCTCTCTTTTTTATTAATATCCATTTTGTATGTTAAATTTCAAAATTTATACTGAAGGGATGATGAGGTGAGAATATGAGACACGAATACTTCTCACTCTTGAGCTTTGCTATCAATTCTTTCTTTTCATCATTGAATAAACTGGTTATTTTGCTTTTTGTGTTTGTCATCAATTTAGAGGTCAACATAGTACAATGTTAGTGAAAATAGAATATATCAAAATAAGTAACAAAATGCATTCTTACTTTTGTTGTAGCTGAAAATGTTGCAAAACAGTGGCAAGTTACAAGAAATGAACAAGATCAGTTTGCAGTTGTTTCTCAAAACCGAGCTGAGAGTGCTCAAAATGAAGGGCATTTTAAAGAAGAGATTATTAACGTTACTGTGAAAACAAGAAAAGGTAAATGGAGTTATGTTAAATTTGTTAGTATTGTATTATTTAGCCTTCCTTTTTAAAGGTGAAGTCTTCCCCCAAGCTATGTACGTGGCCCCTTCAGTGCAAGGTATCCAACCAACTCACCCACAGACCAATTTGCCCATGCCAACTCGTATGAAATCACTCAAATAAGCCAAGCTCATTACAGAATTAGTCTTGTTTTAAGTTGAAGTCTGATGTTTTATGTATTGATGATGAAAAAATTGAAGTTTCAGCAACATTTCTTGACTTTATACCATTAAGATACAAACCAAAGTGTTCAACAACCGGCATATGGTAACATATGAACACTTAGATGCTATGGACAGAATTTTTGATTTTTCCAGTAGGAAAGCTTTTATTTTATTTAGATCTTACATTTCCTTGTTGTTGTACAGGTTTAGTTATATTTTAAGCCAAAGAATCAAAGCAATTGTTCTGGGATTTGGATCTCATCATCTAAGTGTTTGAACACTCCATTTTGTTAATATCTGTGAATAAATGAAAATCATAGATATGAATTGCAGATTAATAACTGGATTTGAGAAGGACCTTCGCAATGATGAATGCTAATTAAAAGGCTATAGAAAAGTAATTTTAAGAGTGGGTGAGTTGGCATGGGCAAGTTAGTCTGTGGGTGACTTGGTTATAATTCCAGTTACCTCCAATATTTTGTCAAGCTTCCCTGGACACCAAGTCTCATAAAACTGTCAATTTCCCAAGCACTGTCAGAGTAAAGTATGAAAGTATTTATGTTTTGCTATGATGCAGAAGTTATATACTTTATTTTAGGCCAAGTATGGGTAGTGCTGAGGTGAATTAACCGCCATGACAACAAATAGTCTCTTTATATTTCATTTACTATTAGTGTAAATGTACTTTCAAATACACCAGCCCTGTAACTTTACATTCATTTGTTCTTATCACCAACAATGGTAGTCATAATAGCAGAATCCATGAAAACCAGAGGTTTATTCTAATTTAAACTTTTTTTTTCATTTCTTTTGTTAGGGACAATCAATGTTACAGAGGATGAGTTTCCACGTCATGGCACTTCTATGGAAAGTCTTTCTCGTCTCAAACCATGTTTTCTTCAAGATGGGACTGGTTCAGTTACAGCTGGAAATTCCTCTGGCATCAATGATGGTTCTGCCGCAGTTGTGCTAATGTCATATGCCGAGGCTGCCAGGAGAGGTGTGGTCCCTTTGGCTCGTATAGTTTCATGGGGTCAGGCTGGTGTTGAACCTGCAGTGATGGGCACAGGACCAATTCCAGCAACAAGAAAAGCTGTAAGGAAACTATGTTTTTGTGACAGTCTGGCTCAGTAAGTGACTCACTGGCTGACTAGACAACCATCTATTAAGCACATGGATAATTGATTGTTTAGCCAATTGACTAATTGACTGACTGCTTGATTGGTTTATTGATTGCTCACTTGCTTGATTGATGGATTGATCAATCTTTCAGTGGGTTGCATTGTTTTTATGATTTGAAAGGAAGGAAAGGATGTTCTGTCAACATGAAATCAGAGGATGATTAAAAATGTTCATTTATGGTTGGGACCTTTAGTTTTATTGAAGGGGGGTGCAAAGTGTAGGAATGAGGAGCACTTGGGTTGGGAAAACATCTGGAAAGCAAAAAAGAAGAGTTGTGTATGGTATTAAAGATGAGGAGAGATGTAAGTTTTGGAGAAAAGATAAAGCAAATAAAACAAAAACAAACATCACTTAGAGTGAGAAAAGAGGTAAAAAACTTAAGGGGAAGAACTTTTCTTCCCCCTCCCTACCAGTAAGAGGATTACAGCTGCATTACTTTTTAAAAACAATTTAAATGAAGGTGAATGTTACACAAAAGAAACATTTCCTTGGTTTTGTCTTCCATAGGTTCAAAAGGCAGGATGGAAACTTGAAGATGTTGACTTGTTTGAGCTGAATGAAGCATTTGCAGCACAGTCTTGTGCTGTTGTGAAAGATTTAGGGCTTGATTCAAAAAAGGTACCAAATGACCTTTCAAATTCTTTGACATTGATATTAATTATGAAAACATTGTACAGGTTCATGTTGTGTAGTTGCATCCAATTGACTTTTTCCTTGTGCCATTAATTTCAGGGCATAATTGATTGTTGATTTCCTTGGTCATTCATCATTTCATTCATTTATCCTCCCATACCGTAATCTACTAGAAATCGGGGTTTTCCGAATGGAGCAACATAGCTATAAAAGGGGAGATTTGAAGTGCTACCCCTCTCTTTCTTCCAGCTTGATTGCTGTTTCTATAGAGTACTCAAAACCCAGAGCTCTACAGGTGATGAGAAACATTACTTGGGAAATACTTGGGTAGCATGATAGTAAGACATTCCAAGGTGACCAACTTCAATTTTTTGAGGGAGCTACTGTAAGCAGTCTAAGTGTCAGGCTTATACTGGGTATGAAAAGGATTATTTTTTTCAAGTTACTACAATGTCATCTTACCAACATTTGGGTTGCAAACTTGGTTGTTTGATATTTATGAGTTGATTATTTGGATCAATGTCAGCATCTGAACAACTGTGTACCTACCCCTCCCCTAACCCAACATAAATCCTAACTCGATATCAGTTGACTGTTATTGGGTTAGGGGAGGGGTAGGTGTGCAATTTCTCAGATGCTGACATTGATCTGGTTCTTCCTCTTGACAAATAGGGAGGTCACAACATTTGCAAACCCCCCCTCCCCCCTTATCCAAACTACGACTGTTTGACCAGTGGTTAAGGTTCTGACTTATTCTTGACAGGTAAATATCAGCGGAGGTGCTATAGCTCTTGGCCATCCAATAGGTGCATCAGGATGTAGAATTCTTGTGACATTGTTACATGGCTTAAAAAGAACAGGAGCAAGAAGAGGCGTGGCTGCCTTGTGTATTGGTGGCGGGATGGGAATTGCTATGTGCGTGGAAAGGTTATGACAGTCTCAATGAAAGGAATGAATGATTGTTTGGAAAGAATAATTTTGTACAAAGTTGCATATTTTTGGTCCTATTTCTCTGAGATTTTTCCCAAAATGGATCACAATTGAATATCTGAACTTAGCTCTGGGAGATCAAAGACTGAGATGAATCGCTCTGGGAAATTACAACATATGGAAAACAAATTACAGTAAGAAGACGCTCAACGCGCTTTTCATGTTATTTAAAGTAGGCTTTTGACCCATGAACTCCCAGATCAAATTTTTAATTCTCCTTACTGTCAACCATACAATTCTTATAATGTTAGTTCAGAGAATTTAGTATTGGATTAACTAATTATCCCCAAATTAATATTTTTCTTTTTTCTCATCACTTATCTGGTTGATATTGTATAGTCATAGTAGGGAGAAATTCCGTCTTGGTCACTCACGGGAGTTAAAGGGTTAAAAAGTAAGCATAGGCAAGACCATGGAATCATGAAGTTTGATGTGTTAACTCGACAAGGTATTAACACTGTCTTTAAAATGCTATTTATTGATGTAACTGCGATAAGATTTTATTGAGATGTATTTGAGAGCAATTTTCAATCGAATGTCGAAACCAATCAGGGATTGAATAAAGGGGGTAAGTTTCTAAAGAAGCTGTGGTGCTGTGTCGGTAAGAGAGTATAACAGTGTAATTCAGTATTTTCAACTGAGTTGATAACGGAAATTGGCAACTATAAAGAATTTTAAAGCTGACGTTTCGAGCGTTGGCGAATTACGAAGGGCTAACGCTAGAAACGTCAGCTTTAAAACTCTTTACGGTGGCCATGCAATTTACGTTATCAACTTACATCCAATCAGATGTTAAAATTAAGTCAATTGCGACTTTGTTACTTGCGTTTTCCCGCCCTTCCAGCACAGCAGATAGCTTGTTTATTCTTGGAGTTCTCACAGGGTTCTTGTGATATTCTCGTTTGTCCTTATCGATCGTTTTGTTGACATTGGTTTGTGATTTGCCACACTCGCCGGAAAAGCGCTCGATGTTTGAGATAACAGAAGAAACCCAGAGGAGTTACTTCGCTTAGTCATTCGAGCTTTATGGTGAATTGGCTTTAAAAAGATTGAAATAGTGAAACAATTTATGAAAAATGGTTTGCTAGAGTAGAAAAGCACCAAGAGATTATAATATTCCCGAAAGGTACAAGGATGGGAAGAATGACGGTGGAATGCAAGCGATCAACTTGAATTTATCAAGTTGATCAGGTTTTTAGATGCAGCAAGAGTGACACTGTAGCTTAGACTTGGGCGTAGTCCCTCTTTTTCATCGAAGTGTGCCGCACGAGTCATAAAAATAAGGGAAACAATAAAAATTTTATGCTAGCTGATTTTTTTTTTCAATCACGCGACGCACTTCGCGGAAAGAGAGGGACTGGTCTTAGTCTACCGTAGCTCCGCCGTTTAGTAGCGTGAAGTTTTCGATCTCGTTTTGTAAATCTACGTCAAATAAAAATAGAAGCGATTTATTGATGGAAAAAAAGGCGTTAAGGACAGTCATTTTAGTTTTACTTAAAGTATTTTAATAGCTTAAAATTCATCGCTAGACTAGCACCCCATTCACACCAAAACATGTCTCACAGCTTGTTGTTTAACATGGCTGAATATTGTTTTCTTTATAGAGGCTGCGTAAACCGATGTTTGTCGAGTTTAAATTTAGCACATTTAAAATAAAAAGTTAGTGACTACTTGAAACCAATGGAAAATTCAGTTTTTCAATTCCCTGTTTTTGATTTTCATTCAGCTAAACCTGGTTGAACTAAACGTGTTTTGCTGGTGTGAACGGAATATAGGTTTTGTAAAAACTAATCCAGTTTGGAATAATACAAGTAGATAGTTGATTCACAACACTTTCAATACTTCAAAACCATGAGCAGTCCATTTAAATAGCGTTTATTTATTATCACAATTCATCCATAAAATATCTAGTATATCAACTTAAACATATACAAAGGTGCAAGCACAGCTTGTATGATATATGCATGTCAATGGTGTTATTTACATTGGAACCATTTTGTGGTTCATACTTATCACCCAAGTTACTTCTCTGAAGCATAGATCAGGAGAGAGTGCTACTTTTATGCCAGAGACTCGTATGAATAAAAGCTACAGGAAATAAACTTTGCTTGTACAAGATGATCATATACGAGTTACAATGGTTTATCGGTAGAATATCAAATAGATATCCTTATTCTGATCGATGTTCCAGGTTTCTTCAAAAGCCTAAAAATTTGGAAATATTGTCTTCTTTCAAGAGCAATTTCTGAGTATGGCGATTGTAACACAATGACAGATACCGTTTAGACTTTTTACTCAATTCAGCTAGGACGTTTTTAGAATTGCATATATCTTTCTGTATTTACAAAAGTGTATAAGGTAAACTACTTAGGCGATCAAAACGTCTTGATAGATTCAATAAACTTGATGTAAAAAAAACCTCAAAAGCTAATATAGAGGGTGCAATTACGTCCATGAGGACTTTTCGTTTCTTACCACCGTTACAGTCGCATATTGCGAGTTTTTTGCGCGATGGAACAATTTTCGATTGAGTGAAAAATCCAAGACACTTTGTCAATAGGGTTTTCCCGCGCTGTGAGCCGTTTTCATGTTTCTTACTTTGACTTCTCATTGGCTATCGTCACCCTTCGTCCTGATTGTCCCAGTGATTTCTTTGGTTTTGGTTTTACAAGACACAATCAAAAAGTGCTTTGTTAGATGCATTTGCAAATAGATAACTTAAGGTGATTCCTCAACATTTCACTGGGCATCCTGTTCGTAATCAGGCGAATAAGCAAGCGCACATTCCGAGAACATGGCTCTGTTTTTCAATAAATGGACTGGGTAAAGAGGTACGATGGTCTTTAGCTCGTGAACGAGCACGGTGACTTATATTTTTTATTGCATAAATTTGGTGTGCAAATTTATCCCTTTAAATTGGACAAGTTAAAGAAAAATTCAGCGAAAGGGAAAAAAATATGGCTAAAAAAAGGGGAACAAAGCTCGTTACTTGATGATGCAAAATATTACCTAGAAAGGAACGATTCGAGGAACGTTTTAAGTCGATGTTGTATGAAATTGCATGGTTTTTTCACAAATTATGTATCATATTGTTCCATATGCTCGAGACCTTCTACCTATCAAGTTTTTTTTTTAAGTGTTACTTTAAAGAACCTTGCTTCCAACTACCTGAAAATGTACCGTGAACCGATCAAATGACCCACGTGATTAGTGCCAGAACAGGCATACGCGGGGTAACTTTGGCTCATTATATCTCTCAAACGAGCACGGTGACCTATCTTTTAAATTGTATTTTTCGAAACAGACATTGGTAGGGAACATATAAGGAAAGTTTTAGAAAAATTGTTCGATAACTTTTTTTTCCGAGAAATCACCCTAAAAATCTCTAACCCAATCTGTCTTACTTTGGAGCTCAAAGCACCTCTAATTTACCAAAGTAAGTTCGGTATGGTGGCACATATGTATATATATATATATATATATATCTCCTTTGCAGGACTTATTTACTTATGTACAAAATAGTTACTTTTTTAAATAATTGGCTACTGCTTTACTTTCTTTTCACTTTCTTTTTCATCGCATTCGTCGAGATCTTCATCGTCCTCGTCATCGCTACTATCACTACTATCTACGACTTGGATGGTCGCCTGAACGGGAAAATTCCGAAGTAAGGTTTCTCCTGATGCGTACATGTAATCATATGCGGCTTTCGTCCAGAGTAACCTTTAAAAAGGGTGAAGATGGTAAAAATGAATGCAAGGAAATCCACAATTACTACAGCTGTCATGTTCCCCAGTTTCTGTAACACGATCTTCTTCTCCAGTAGTATTGCTACTCCCTTCCCCCCCCACTCGACTA